CACAGGCGCCGAGCCTGTCATGGTCTTAGAAAAGTAAGTTATTACAAGACACTGACCTCTTTCCTTCCCAAATCTTCGCTAACTCACATTAAAATAGAACTTAGATGGCATTTTGCTTTATTTAATTAAAAACAAAATGTATCAGTTAATTCCCTAGTATTATTATTTAAGTTCATTTTTTCCCCCATTCAGGTTGATAAGGTAGGTCTTTATTTTTAAGGTCATAGCCATTGGGGGAAAAAAGGTTTTCATTTACTGGTGGTAGATACACAAATTAACCTTTGTGGAGATAAATAGTTAAAATGTGTCCAAAATTATTAGTGATAAGAAAAAAATATTCATTTCACATACCTAAGGAATAGCCACTTATGAAATGATTTACATTGTAAGACTATTTGTACATATGAATTTTATATTAAAATTACACACAATTGAAGTTCAATTTTACTATACCCTTTCTGCCTGTCTCTCTGAGGAACTTGCCATGTCCTTCCTTGCACTTGACATGTATTTCTAGCACGGCATCATATTACAGTAGAATTACTGAACTAAGCTTCTCAGAAGCAAGGCACATGTTTACTTACCCTTGTATTGCTGGCAGATGGTATATAATAAATAATCGAGGCTCTGTAAATGTTTGGGAATAAGATAGAGATTTGCTACCCCACTCCAATTAATTGCAAGAGTTCTAGCCTTAGGGCCATGTCGGAATTCAAGATTCAGGGTGGAGTAACCATCCAACAGAGAGCCTCCTCTTCCATCTCTTTAAGGAGGCAACTTAAGTATCTATTGAAGGTCATTCAATTTCCTGGCTGGTTACTATCCTTAGAGTCTGGGTCAGGTAAAAACAGGTTAGAAACCAGGTCTAAAATCTCCAGGACATGCAAAGTCCATTGGTGGAGAGGGATTTAGTGAGAACACACTTAGGGTTGAAGGGCTAACAAGTCAGGTAAGACAGAGTTGGGGTAAAAGCCATGAAACCATAAGAACTTGATTGAGCTTTACATCCAGGAATACAGCATAAATATAAAGATAAACATACAAAACCACTTCCTACTCTGAAATTGAGCTTGAGAGGATAGTGCTTAGACATCTTTCAAAGAAAAAGATAAAGACAATAAACACTGAGAGTGGGCAGGCCAATTCCAAATTCAAAGGGAGGAAAGCAGGAATTATTCTAAAGAGACAAAAAATTCCTATCACATAAGATTCTTGAGCTTCTTAAGAAAGCCACGTATACTGGATTATGCAGTATGTGTGCATTACAGGAAAACAATCTATAAGGTCTATCCAAAGTAAAAGCAGCTCTCATATCCTAGTGGTGTTTTCAAAAGAGAAAGTTACAGAAAACTACATGTCATAAGACAACTTGAATTTTAGAGGACAGTGTTTATCCATTATTTCAAATTCCTTTCCCCTCAGATTCAGGTGTAAAAATCACTATATCTCCCCTCCTGAACTCATGCAGCCTGGGTCATGTCCTCCCCTTTATGGGAGGATGCTTAGCTACAGATACTAGTTGCATGTTTAGTACAGCAGGTGGCACAACGTGCCAACACGCACATGCTACTTGGCCACTGGCCGTGCCCCACAGCAGGTGACATAAGCTGCTGCCTCTGGAAGACCACAGCAGTGCTCGGAAGTGTATCCACAGAGTCATACCTACCTGCTGTGGCTCCAGGGCAACAGCACCTGCACACCAGTGCTCAGGTAGCTGTGCTAACTGACACACGGTTCCAGGGACATGTCATGTCCTTGCTTCTGGACACCAGTGGCCACTGGGCACCAGTTTCTACAGGTCAGTACACTACCAGCTCCCAGGCACTTCTCTGCCTTCCTCTCAATTCCAAGGTGTATTCCAGCTTCCAGAGAGCTGTTCCATCTTCTTGACCTGAGACCTAAGAGCTCAAGAGGCGGCCTGTCCCCACCCTCTGCACAGCAGGCTCAGAGAAGGTAGATGATGCGTCCCACAGAAGCTCCATACAGAACTAACTGCATCATGTCAGTCAAGAAGAGAGAGATGACTCTCTCAAGTGTTTTAATAAAAGCAAAACTGCCTGGTGAATGTCAGAGTCATCTCTACTAAGACCTTACCTGGTTTTGTGACATCTTTAACCTTGGATTCCTAAAACCCAAACAATAAAGTAGCATTAATACATTAATCATAATGTCTTTACATTAAGAAAATGCCCCAGCCTGCAAGTGTAGGGTAAACAGAAACTACAATGGGGAGTTCAGATAACAGGTGCTCTTGAATGCACCTGGGGCTACGTATAGGGCCATATTCACTCCCTAGCCACAAATATTATTGATGGAACTGAGACACAAATAACAGAAACCTCAATTAACAATAAGTGTTTGGGGGACGGGGTAAGACTGAAATCAGAAAACAACTTAGCCCGGGATTTTCCCAGTTTAACCTTTCGTGAGTGTTTCCTACGTAACAAGCACCGTGCCCTGGACTTTATTCTGGCCCTCTCCTTTAGTGCTCACAGCAATCAAACAATCCAAGAAGCTGGATACTATCACTCTATCACTATTCCATTTTACAACTGAAGAAATACTTAATACAGGTAGTATGGATTGCTGTTTCCTCAAAATGACATAAAAACAAGACATATATATCAAGTTCCAGGTTATAAGAATCCAGGGAAAACAGACCCAAAGTTTTACATCCTGAACCACCACTGTTATTATCACTCCCAAGTCTTAACTTTCCAAAGGTCTCTATCGTCAAACAAAATTGCCATCTCCCTCATTATCCCACACTGCCCTCTCACTGCCCTTGTTCCCTCTACACCCACAATCTGCCTCTCTCACCTCAGACTGATTCATACTTCTCATTCCACTATATTCTCCTCTTTGCATTTCCCATCTCAACACTCCTTAGAACACCCCAATCCCCTTTTCAGCCCCCTCAGTTCACCTACCTCAGTCAAAGTTTTCTCTTCTACAACATCATGGACTTTATCCGGGGCTGTAGGCAACTGGAGAGTTAACTTGAAAGTTCCTTTTCCTGGCAATACTAACTCATGATTCTTTCTCTCCAGAACTCTCTGCCGAACTGAAATGTCCAAAAAAGAAAAAATAAAAAGCCAAGTAATCTTTATTTACACAATTACTCCATGACTTCTATAGGCTTCATTATCATCAATCAAAGAGAGGCCATGTGAACTTTAGCAAGCAGACATGGATTTGAATTCTATCTTTAAACTTATTTGTTAATAGCATAATCCTTACTATGCTTTACTTTCTTTTTCTTTTTATTTATTTACTTATTTATTTGAGACAGAGTCTCTCTTCTTTGCCCTTGATGGAGTGCTGTGCGTGGCAGCTCATGGCAACCTCAAACTCTTGGGCTCCAGCGATCCTCCTTCCTCAGTTTCCCAAGTAGCTGACACTACAGGACCCTGCCACAATGCCCAGCTATTTGTTAGAGATAGGGGTCTCGCTCTTGCTCAGGCTTGTCTTGAACTCCTCAGCTCAAAAAATACACCCACCTCTGCCTCCCAAAGATCTGGGATTACAGGCCTGAGCCACTGTACCAGGCCTGTATGATATTAAGTTGAAGAAACATTACAAAAAACCTGACACTCAGCAGGCACACAAAAAGGTAGCACTGGGCGGCTTCTGTGGCTCAAAAGGGCAGGGCACAGGCCCTACATGCCAGAGGTGGTGGGTTCAAACCCAGTCCCAGACAAAAAAAAAAAAGTTAGCATCATTTATTCTACACCAAAGTGAACGGAAGTAAAACACCCCAGGGACAGCCAGTGAAGACCGGGTGCTGGGGAAGGGCAGGATGAAAGCCATCGTTTAAGAAGGCAACTCAGGTGGCCAAGAGAACCACCAGAGGCCTCCTTAGAAAGCCCTTTCAATCAGTTCCTGAGCTTGTAATGATAAGGGTGTCACATCTGGAGGGGGTAGAAACAAGGAAACGGAGAGACCCTAGTGAAGCAACTGAACCCTGCACATAAGAATCCAAAGACCTAGATTCAAATTCCAACTCTGCCAGGAGCCTCAGTTTCCTCACTTGAATGAAGTCTGTGAGTGGACTTGCTAACACCCTGCAGAGCTTTTAAAATGTAAATTGTAAGAAGGAGCAGCCAAAGACATTAAAAAAAAAAAAAATCAGTGCGTCTCAGCCCTTGGAGAAACAGGAGTGAGTGCAAGGGGAACTTCCTGGAGTGCCCTACTGCTAGGGGTGGGGAGGGCTGGCTCTGGCATCAACATTGAGTTACCATGTTGCATTCTGATGTGATGGTCCTGATAAGGCCAAGGATATAGGTCAGAGCCAGTTTCTCATCTCACTCTTTGTTTTCACACAAACTCCTGAGGGGCTTTGCTAAGTCACAGTGAGGACTTAGGGCAGGATATGACCCCTGAAGTCTGAGAACAAGCTAAGTTTTGTAAGCCAAGTTATCTAGAATCATCGACCGCTGCATTGCATTCCTTTCATTTTTTTATTCCCTAGACTTTGATAAAGTCTTCTCCAGGCATCTAAATGTGCCAAGTTGTTCACACATGGTGGGTCATGGGCTCAGTATCTCAGGAGAGCAGATGGGTATAATACCAGTATATGATCCCCATCAAGGAGGAAGTAAACTGGGGAGGAACAAGAGCCGAAACCCAGAAATCCAGTCTCCTTTACCCACGTGGACAGTCTCCCTCCTGCACTAACCTTACACCATCTACATTCTATTTTATTTAAGAAGAATGGTTCCCTCACCCTAAGGAATCTGGCAGTAATTGGAAGTCAAAATATGACCAGAAAATATGATAAAATAAGCACATGTCAAACAGAGTTTAAAATATTGTAAGTCAAGTTACACTCAACCTCCAGAAATCCAGTGAACTAAATAAAAGTGAGATACTAAAATAAATAAACAAATGAATAAAAATGAGTATCCCCTGTGTTCTTGTTTGTCATATACTACTTCCTACAGAGAAGGTGAGCTCCTTCTTATTGTCTAGTACAGATTTCTATAAATAAAGTCATTTTACACTGTGGGCCTGCACCTGCTGAGGCCATTTCCTGGCATAGAGGGTGGAGGGTATCCTCTGTAGAAGAAGGACGAATTTCCTGGGACTTCAAGGATAAGTGGTTCATTGTAATAAGTTCCTGATGATTTGTTACTAAGAAGGTAGTTCTTCAAGTAGGAAACTGAACCTAACTAGGGATTTCCCATCCCTGAGGAACTTTGACTATAAAAGGCTTGAGTGTGCTGTCTGGTAAGACCAGAGGAGCCACTGGAGCTGCCTGGGTAGAGGAAGAGGAGGAGTGTGGCTGGAAATTGTCAAGGAAGAAAGGCCAACAGAGAGATTAAAATTGTGTCTGCTGTGACAACTAGAATTGAATTATTTTATCATCACAAAGTTATGTTTTGTGCTGTCTGCATTTTCATGCCGCTTATATTTTGTATAATTACTTCCCTTTTGGTTCCTTTGGGGTTGCCAACAAACAGAGATTCTGAAACTTTAATGCATCGAGGGCACCCAGGGTGCTGGTTAACCATGTCATACTCACCCCCCACCCCACGCTCCCTGTACCTGACTCTCTAGAAGAGAGCTAGGAATGGGCCGAACCAACCTGCCCTCCAGGTGATTCAGGTGCAGGTGGTCTTTGCCCCCAGTTTGAGACCTACTCCTAAAAATAATAGGATTCTAAAGAAAGAAGTGTCTCTAAAGGCCAGATCCATGCTGACGTTGACCTCTGGAACCAAAGTGGGAAAAACCCTCCAGGAAAAGTGAAACCCAGAAAGGAAGTACACCACACAGCTGCCCTTCTGAACAAGCCTTAGTGCAATTAATCCTTGGAAAACATTGTACTTTGTTTTCATAAGGGCTCTGTGTCAAGCAGGTCTCCTGTTCCCTTCCTTCCTTTCTTCAAACTATCTGTGTAAGATCTTGTAGGAATGGACACCATGCTTGCAAAGCACAGTTACTGATTCTTATCACATTAAAAGAAACCCCTGTGAACAGGGCAGTCTCCTGGCAAGCCTAGAGACGTTTTGTGACATAGGGGTAATCCCCCAAGTAACTCAGTGTTCCAGAATGAGATAAGAACGGTCACTGGTTAGTAAGCATGTGGTAGACATTGATGCTTGGTGCTTCTTCATGGGGGTTGTGGGGAAAGAACATGTGAGGAAAGAGCAGGTGGCAATCCCTACGCAGGCAGCCCTGGTATGGAATGACCTTAACACTCCACACCCGTTGTGTATAGCCTTACTAAATAGCCGTTCCCCAGGGGGCTCAGGGCTACCCTGCACTTAAGGTTAAGCTACCTCTTACAAGTTTGTACTTTTTTTTTTAATTTTGCACTTTATTGCCCTCAGTAGAGTTTTGTGGTGTCACAGCTCACAGCAACCTCCAGTTCTTGGGCTTGGCAGATTCTCTTGCCTCAGCCTCCCGAGTAGCTGGGACTGCAGGCACCCACCACAACGTGCGGCTGGCTATTTTCTGTTGCAGTTTAGCTGGGGCCGGGTTTGACCACCCCCCTCGGTATATGGGGGCCAGCGCCCTACCCACTGAGCCACAAGGCACCGCCCAAGCTTGTACTGCTAAACCCTGTCACGCCTGGTTCCTGCCTGGTTCCTTCTGGCGGCAGGTGGCGACAAGATCTACTGTTCGTTTCATTTTTTCTTTTTTGGACCCCTGCTGGAGCATTCCAGTTGCACGGCCTCCTAAGCAGCCTGGCCTCTTGTCTGACCCCAGAGTTTCTTTAAATCCAGCCACAAGAAGGCAGGATCAGGAGTTGTCTAGGTCCTGAGGGATCACTGCGCAGCTACTAGATTCAGGGGGAAAGGAGCGTGTTCTGGGAGCCCCAGGTTTCAGGATGCCCACCGCAGACCAGGTGGGTGCCGTGAGCAAGCAGATCATTGTTGGGCTCTTGGTCTCCCTGGCGAATGGGAGCAGCAGTGGGGAGGAAGGGAGAACCCAGTCCCTCAACAGCCCGTGAAGAAAGGACCTTCCCAACGCTCCCCAAAAGCTCAAAATTCTCAACCCACAATCTCTTCTGAATGTTATCCCTGCTCCCAATCTGAGGACCACCCTGAGACGCAGGGAAGAGGCGCCAGCAGGCCCTCGATGAGGGCAAAATGTGCCCATCTACAGGTGGCTGCTGTCCCCTTCTAACGGGGTCCTAAATACAGAAGGCTCTATATTTACAGCCACACCGTGGGATGGCAGTGCCTCTGCCCCTCTCCCAAGTGTCCCTGGGAGGGAATCTCCAAGACAAAGGAATCTCCGTGACTCCTCGCATTCTTAACCACGTTTCTTCCCCACCTAAAATAACAACAAACAACAACTGGGAAAGACAGAAAAGAACCCTAAGAGTGGGACTCGCTGGTGCGGTTCCGCCGCCACCTCCAGGCAGCGCTGAATGGCGCCAGGAAGCGCAGCGCCCCGGGTGCGCGCCGACTCTGTCCCTTAGGTCGCCCCCCAGGAGGGAGCGGATCCTCCCGCCGCCAGCCCCGGGCCGAGCTGCCGCCCGAGTCCCCGGAGGGAGGGCAGGGTCGCCCCCTTCTCCGCCCCTCCCCCCCGCGGCGCCCCTCACCGTCCTCCGGGTGGAAGAGAACCAGGAAGCGGGACGGGCTCCCCGGGTCCTGCCGGACCTCACACTCCCCGCCGCCCGATCTCTTTGAGCTCTGGAAGTACATCTGCAACTTGGTGCTCAAGTTCTTCGGGGGGTAGGGGCCCCAAGACCCCTCGACCAGCAGTGGGAAGGAGCCAGACTCAGCCATCTTCAGCTGCGCTCGTCCGCCTGCCAGACTGCTGAGCCTGCCCCAACTCCGGGCTGTTAACTTTGCCTCTTTCGCTTTCGTTTCCTGGAAAACCGCTTAGTTCCTCTCAGGAGCTGTAAACAGCTGAACTCGGACTGGGCTAGTCACTTCCAATTTCCTATCGGCGTCTGGGGACCTTAGCCCAGGGGAATTAGCCCTTCGGGGCTGCTCCTCGCCGGCTCTGGGCCCCCTCACCCTATGCACAGCTGGACCCCTGTGCTTCCAGCCCTGCCTGCCACTCACCCAGACACACCTAAAACAGCTTTGGGACGCCAGAGTTTCAACAAACACAAGGATAGTTTCACTTTTGCCATAGCCGACATTTTACCAAGGAATAAAATGGCTCCCAAGCCCTGACCCTTTTAAAATGTTTGCTGCCCTTGTGGGGATTTCTTTCAACAATCAGTGTAATTGCCAGAATTTTACTTTGTTTTCCTATTTTTGCTTTTTGTTCCCTGAACTACCACACATATCTGGAAACGTGGGAGACGCGTTACACTCCCGTTGCTTGTGGAATGTTTACTGGGTGCTGTGTACTTAGGACAAAGTCAAAGGACAGACAAAGTCCCTGCCCTCACTGAGCTCAAAGAGCCAGGGGGACTCAGAGGAGTTAGGGCACAGTAGACTGAGGGCTCTGGGGAGGAGAATCCAAATGAGGAAAGGCACCTGGCCCAGGTGTGGGGTTCACGGAGGGTTTGTGAGGAAGTGACATGTATGTAACCCTCAC